ATACAACGTGCTGCTTATTTGCTTACTGGTGTACACCGCTTAGAGAGTGCTTGCACTTAAAGCGGTATATAAGTCTCATAAATAAATAAATAAATAAATTTGTGAGATCACTCGTCTCCGATTACTTCTGCCCATCTGATAAGATCTGACAAGATGGGCATGATCCAGATTTCTGCTGTGAAAGAGTGCCATCTGAATGAATAAATGAATTTCAGATATTCTGGCTAAACTTTAAGAATAGCCCAGGGATGGGATACTAGGCTTTTAACTTTGTAGAGTCTTATTCAAAGCATTTTATTTTGGACTGTAATGCAATCTGTTGTAAGAACCTTAGAACACAGGGACATATTTTTCTACCAAAAGGAACATTTTACTATAGCCTTGTGATAATCATCTTGTGTGCTGAAATGTTAAGGAAAGCAGATCCCCAATTGGCTATTACAACTGTCTGATTAGAAAATTAAAGCAATGTAATTGTAGCTGCATAATCTCCTATGATGCTGAGCTTTAGTCCTTGACTGGGCAATTCATAAAGTGCCCTATGATTTTCTGTTAGCTCTTTGATCATGTTTTTTTTTTTAAAAAAAAAACTGATTAGAGGAGGAAAAATAATTCTTATTTGTAGTGTTCTGTCTCCTTTCCTTTCTGCAAAAGTTGAGCCCATTCCATTTTTTTTAACTTCACAACAAGCTTATGAGATAAGTCTGAGAAATAAGTGTACTTGGTGGTTTTTAAATGGACTGATCTACATTTCTGAACGCAATTTGTCTTTGATTGATTTCTCCAACCACACAAATGTTGCCTCCTTCTATTCTGTTCTGTATTTGTTCATTTGAAAAGTAGCCTCCTGAGGGGGAAATGGACAGACTGTCAGACTGGCAAGAGTTCTGAGACTCTTTACGTTATTTTTTTTCCAAACTTCTGTTGCTTTGGAAAGAATAAGAAGGACCCAGGGGATATACAAGTACAGTAAAATAAAAAGTTGCTGGTTCTCCAAACAGCATTGGTTGCTTTCCCTTCACTTTTAGCTTGGAGAGGTGAAGAGCACCACAGAAAGCTTTTAAATATAGAACACAAGTTAGACTTGAAACAAAATTTTTCGTGGTATTATAGCTTCATTGTATTATGCTGTCTTTCTGATAACACTACAGCTAGTGATCACTGCAAGAATTTCAAACGGTTGGTACATGGAATACAATACAAAGCAGGTCAGTAATACTGCTGAAGGATGATCTTCTGCTCTTCAGCTATATACAACTGCTTATTGCTATTGCTGTTTCTGCTGTGATCTGTTAAGCATCTTTGATCATGGGAATTTTTTTTTTTACATGCTACACAATAATTTCCTCTAGACACAATCAAATCAAAGCTAAGCATCTTTAAGTTCCATTGATTTCAGTGGGAAAGAGTGAATTGCACTCTTAATGGCTTCCCATGGAAACTAATGGGACTCAAGCATATTTAAATTAGACTGGATCATGCCCACTTAACATTGCTACATTTACATATCTTCCAGTAGTTAATAAGCCTGGAGGCACACTAATATTGCTGTAGCTACAATTAAGGGTAGGTGCATGTAAAAGGACATGGAAATAAATTCAGTTTGCCGGGCAGGTACAAACTGGAAGTAAATTTATGAAATATGAGGCTCTTTGAATTAGCGTGATCCTTCTTTCTCTGCTTTGCCTTTCTTCAGATACAAATTAATCTCCTCTGCTAAGCCTCTTGTTTTGCTGCAGTGTCCTGAATGCTGATGTACTGTGGGGATATACGATTGGTTAGATGTATGTGATGCAACTCAAGAACATAAAGGTGTCTTGCAGTTTTCCACTTAAAACACCTACTTTGTTCAGTGACAAAATGAGGTTGCCTTTGGCACTTTTATTTGAATAGTTACTAGAATCTGAGAAACAAAGTGGTAGAATTATGCAAAACTAGCTGAGAGAGTTTAGGAGCTGGAGTATGGGGTTAGTTACTCTACTCTACAATGCCTGGAATATTCCCTTCTCCTTTCCTCATAATTAAGAATATCACTTAGTCTGTTGGTTTTAATTCATAATAGATTAAGTAAGAATGTAGTTCTGAAATCAGCAGCACCAATAAAAATATGGGTATGTTTGTCTCTGTGTGTGTATTCCAGAAATGTTCTTGGCTTTTATTTTTATTTTTTCCCCAAGAAGAGAAAAAAACATCATAAATGTATCACTTTAACACTGAGAGTGGCAGTAGATGTATTGTTGAAGAAAATGTTTTGCAGAGCTCTTTGCACAGTCATTCTGGTTGCTATTGCTCCCTTTCCATTTTCCAAACTTTCCTGACATTGTGAAAACCGTTGGCTGAAATAAACTGCCTGATTAATCAAACATCACGGCAAGGTGAGGTCACTGGAAGTCAGTTATCTTGTGACTGGGTTTTGCTGAAATTATGCTGAAGGCGCACTTAAAGCCTGCACTTGGAGCAAGGGGAGGAGGCAGAATCCTACCTGTGTTTTTATAACTCTGCACTGTCAGAACTCATAATAAGTCAAATATTCTTTCTGAGGTACTCGAGGAGGAGGGGAGGGTGGGGGAAAAACCTGTAAATTTAAGAGTAATTTCAGATTGTAAATGAAAAAGAGAGGCACGGCTGTTCATTTGCACCAATCATGCCTTCCTTTCATCTGCTCTGATTAGGCCTGGTGCGGTTTCATCAGACTACTCCATCATGGAGCTGTCACTCCAGCCGTCTGTTGATTGAAAACAATCAGGGCTCTGATGGCACAATTATTCTGACCCTTTAACTAGAGGCTGCTGTGATAATGAAAGGTTGATTATGATAGTTTGTGCCTCTTTCAGTTTGCCAAGAAGGTTAATTTGGGCATCAGACGGATGTTTAATGGGCGCTTGCTGGCTACACTGAGGTAAATGAGAACGTGCAGCCTTCGATATTGCATGGATATAGTTTGGCTGCCAATCATTGTCATTTTGAGTTTGTGCCTTGCACTCTGGAAATCACTTTTTTTTTCTTTGGGATTTAATTTATTCTGTGCCCTGAGGAAGTTCTTTCACTCCCTGACCTTCACTGTGGCTTCCTCTGCTCTTAATTTTTTTTTTATTTTTATTTCTTTGCTTCCCTTCTTCGGCTCCGTAGATTATATTTAAAGCCACAGCGGATCTAGTGGAACCCTGCTTCCCTCCTCCTCCTTTTAATTTTTTCCCCCTTCTATGGTTATTTATCATCTGTGTCGGGCACAGTCTTATTTTGCTTTTTGTTTCATGCTGTAGAATAGGAATGTCAAAAATTATTGTGGAAGGTATTTTGCTTTAAATAATAGTATGTTTTTCTGAATATTGCGAAGGATCTTTGTGAGATGGTAGACTTGTATCTGTAATACGAAAACAGGGACAGCAGTTTTTTTAAAAAATGAAAAGTTTTCACACAATTGCTCCTGCAAGCCACATGATTTTTTTCTCTCTGTAGTGGTGAAACTCGGGTGTGGGGAAGAGGAAGAGAGAGAGAAATTCTGCCCATCTGATCCTATGTCCCATTCAGAGAGGCAGATAATAGTTATTAAAAATTAATATATGCATTCCATGGGGGAGCAGAATCAGGCAAAAAAAAAATAAAGATCTTGTTCTTTGAGAAAAAGCCTCTATTAAAGCATGCTCTGTTGTTTTCGTCAGGTAGGTCTCCACCAGAGCTTCAGGCATAAAAAAATAGGAAACTGAAAGACTTGTTTCTATTAGCAATGTTCCTCTGTAAAATGGTTTGGAGGCTTCGGCTGGTTCCAGATGCCACCACTTAGTCTTTGAAGGATTGGTTAGTCTGTATAGAGTTTCAGCTCTCTTGATAGTACTGTGGCTTGCCTCCAAACCCCTTGATACAGCACTTCATTCCCATTGGAATCAGTGGAACAAATCCCAGTGGATTTTTTCCCCATTGATTTCAGTGGGGTATTTCAAGTTCAAATATTATCCAGTGCATTATTCTTATACAACCATATTTATCCCAGCTATATGGCACTATCACGTGTCCAGCAAAGCATGTACATGCTAGAAAACAAATCCTGGATGTGCTTCATTCTACTCCCTACGATTGCTAGCACTTGAATAATTGATTGCATCTAATTCATCGTTGTATTCATTTTGATCTTTTTAACATGCTTTGTACAGTATATGTCAGTGGTGTACCTGTCATTAGGAGTTAGAAAGTTACAGTATGTATATGCATTAACAATGACTCCAGCCTAAAAATAAGGGAATATAAAATCATCAAGAATGAATAAGAGTCTCATATATAGTATGGCCAATAGAACATAAAATAATAGAGTTGGAAGGCACTTTGGAAGTCTTCTAGTCCAACCCCCTGCTCAAGCAGGAGACCCAATACCTCAATAGATAGGTACATATCTCAATAGCGATGTGGTTCTTGACATTAATTTTTATACCTTGCTTTCCCAAGCTTTTTGTCCCGTTCAAGTAAATTGTAACCATAATCCCCAAAACACCCAGTGACCATGAATAATGGGTACACCTGCCAGAGAAGCTTTCTTCAATCTGGTGGCATCCAAAAACGTTGAGATAATGATTCCCATAATGCTCAGTGAATGTCAACACTGGACACTATTGAATGTTTGGGAACTTTAGAGACAAGTTGTTCAAACACAGAGCCAAATTGGAGAAGGCTGCTCTGGTCGATTGATTACCAATATAATGTACAGTACATTAGTCATTATGGAAAAACTCCCATGTTGTCATGTGTTGTTTCTTCTTGTTTATGCAGGGCACCCGTTATCTGAATGTTTTCTAAGACAAGACAGCCCTCTAATCATACATTAATTCTATACAGAGTCATCATTATTTTAGGGGAGATGAAGGAATTTTTTTATATATGCAGCAAGATTAAATTTGGGAGTATAATTTTTTGTTGATAAGTTGAATAATTCAAATATGTATTTCTCACACTGAATTGTGAATAATGTAGATAAGATCATTTTTAAAAATGTTTTTCCTCCCTTCTAGCTAGCTGTGAGATGGCTGGAACACAACTGCCGATATCAGTACATGGATGAACTTCTACAGTACGTTCGATTTGGGCTTATGGATGTGGATACACTGCATACGGTTGCCCTCTCACACCCTCTTGTCCAGACTAGTGAAACTGCAACAGCACTGGTCAATGAGGCTTTGGTCTATCATCAAAGTATCTATGCACAGCCAATATGGCAGACCAGAAGGACAAAACCTCGCTTCCAGTCAGATACTCTTTATATCATTGGTGGAAAAAAACGGGAAATATGCAGAGTTAAAGAGCTACGATACTTCAATCCTGTGGACCAAGAAAATGTTCACATTGCAGGGATTGCAAACTGGAGTGAGTTGGCTCCCATGCCAGTAGGAAGGAGCCACCACTGTGTGGCTGTAATGGGAGATTTCCTCTTTGTAGCAGGTGGTGAAGTTGAACAAGCGACTGGCCGCACATGTGCAGTACGGACTGCTTGTAGATATGATCCCCGTAATAATTCCTGGGCAGAAATAGCTCCAATGAAGAATTGCAGGGAGCATTTTGTACTTGGGACTGTGGATGAATTTCTCTATGCTGTGGGAGGCAGAAATGAGCTACGTCAAGTTTTGCCAACTGTTGAACGATATTGTCCTAAGAAGAACAAATGGACTTTTGTTCTGTCCTTTGATAGGTCCCTGTCCTGTCATGCAGGATCTGTTGTGGATGGTCTTCTTTGGATATCAGGTAGAAAATGTTTCACCCGCAACTTTGAAGATTAAAAGCATGAAAAAACATGTTTGTATCAGTGGCATTAGTTTGGGGCCACATGCCTTGGAAAGGTTTCCTTTTGTTTGCTGGAAATTGAGTTTTAAGACAAGGGACAGGTGGTATAATATTTCTGAGCTACAGATACTCAGCAATAGGTATTCAGCACAAAGGAGAAGAGTTGTACAGCCAGAGAATTGTATACAGGGATAATGAAAGTGCAGTGGCTGCTGAACAAAGCAATTACAATTTAAATAGAAGTGTCCCCAGCAATTTATTTTAAACATTTTTGTATTGGCCCATTAAGAGGAAGATGTATGTATCCTTATCTCTTGATGCCAATAAATGCACTCTGGTTCTTTTTCACAAAATTGTTGGATTTAGTTCCCTATCCTACCAGTAGTTGAGGTAATATTTTTAAAGCATGACCTAAAACAAATATAGTTGTCTGTCAGTGTTCTTCCACAGGTACAGAATTGGTCATCATGGCTTATTTGCAAATAATAATAATAATAAGCCAAATCCAGTCTGAACATCTGGATGACTGTGCGATGATCCATAATAATAATAATAATAATAATAATAATAATAATAATAATCCCAAAACAACTAGAGCACTACTTGAACACGGTTGGCATTGAAAAATTCACCATTAGTCAATTGCAAAAGGCAGCCTTATTAGGAACTGCTTCCATCCTGCAACGATATCTGTAATACCATCAAACATCCACATCTGCTTATCCCAGATCCTTGGGAAGGACTTGATAGGTAGACAAAAATGCCAAATCCAGTCTGAATGTGCGATGATCAATAGTAGTAGTAGTAGTAGTAGTAGTAGTACTAGTAGTAAATTTGTAAGCCACCTGATTGTGAATAGCTCAAAAGAACAATTGCATTTGCTACCATTTAAAAATGGTAAAATGAGAATAAGGTAATGAAAATGAACTAAATATAGGGGAGAAGAGTACTGAACCTAAGAATAAGTGTCCTATTTTCAAAAAGGAAGATTTTGCACGTTTTTGAAGTATTGAATAGAAACAGAAGACAGAACCCTTGTAATCCATAAAAAATAGCTGCTCAGAATGATTTAAATTAGAATTCCTGTGAATGTTTGAAGAATGTCCGTCCTCTCTTACCCTCAAAGAATATTGAAGTCTTCTTGTGTAATGGTGGTGATGATTAAATATATAGTTTGTTCCTCATCAGAGAATAATAGAGGTTGTAAACTACACAGAACATGCCCCTCCCTTTTTATAGTGTAATATGACAACAGTATGCCAGCATTGCTCTCAGCAGTTATGCATGTTGCGAGTACAAATTTTGACCTAGATTTCTCCCAAAAAAATCCATACTTATATGCTTAATATGTGAAGTATTTAAGTAAAACAACCATGAAGTCCATCCAAATCATAAAAAAAAATTCAGTAATCTGTCTTGATTAATGCAGTATGGTCTGGGACAGCTAATACTTAAAAAGAGGAAAGCATCTATGTTGGTCAAATTTTTAAAAGGCAACAAGCCTTTTAAAAAGGCTTCATCAACGATTTGGATGAAGGGATAGATGGGGAACTCATCAAATTTGCAGACGACACCAAGCTGGCAGGAATAGCCAACACTCCAGAAGACAGGCTTAAGATACAGAAGGATCTGGACAGACTTGAACACTGGGCACTAACTAACAAAATGAAATTCAATGGTGAAAAAAGCAAGGTTCTACATTTAGGCAAGAAAAACCAAATGCACAAGTACAGTATAGGTGGCACCATGCTCAATAGTAGTAACTGTGAGAGGGACCTCGGAGTCCTAGTAGGCAATCACTTAAATATGAGCCAGCAGTGTGCTGCAGCTGCCAAAAAGGCCAACACAGTGCTAGGCTGCATTAACAGGGATAGAATCAAGATCACGTGAAGTATTAATACCACTTTTCAATGCCTTGGTAAGGCCACACTTGGAATACTGCATCCAGTTTTGGTCACCACGATGTAAAAAAGATGTTGAGACTCTAGAAAGAGTACAGAGAAGAGCAACAAAGCTGATTAGGGGACTGGAGGCTAAAACATATAAGGAACGGTTGCGAGAATTGGGTATGTCTAGTTTAACGAAGAGAAGGACAAGGGGGGACATGATAGCAGTATTCCAATATCTCAGGGGCTGCCATAAAGAAGAGGGAATTAAGCTATTTTCCAAAGCACCTAAGGCAGGACAAGAAGCAACGGGTGGAAACTAGTCAAGGAGAGAAGCTTCCTGACAGTGAGAACAATTAATCAGTGGAACAGCCTGCCTCCAGAAGCAGTAAATGCTCCAACACTGGAAGTTTTTAAGAAGAGACTGGACAGCCATTTGTCCGAAATGGTGTAGGGTTTCCTGCCCAAGCAGGGGGTTGGACTAGATGACCTCCAAGGTCCCTTCCAATTTTACTACTACTATTATTATTATTATAAGGTCTTCCATTTATCTAAAGAAAAAGTAAGATTGCAGACAAGATCAGGTGCAGTATGATTAAATGAAATTTTAAAAAATTGCTAGTAAGCAAGCGTATTTCTTTTGGGGAGGTGGTTGAGAGGGATTGAATTTGAGCAGAATTGGCTCAATTCAAATACTGCCAAGTTAGTTCATGTTAAGATAATTCAACTGAAAAAATTCCTAAGCATCCCAAGGCTCCCACAGCATTGATAAGTCACTTTATGCCATTGTATACAATACCAAAGGCCTCTTTCAAACAGCAATAACCCAAAGGGCACTTTGGTCTATAATTTCTTGATGGTATATTTAGAAGACCTGGTAAGCCTGTGCAGTCTAAGCAAATAACTAACCCATCAATGCTCCTGGCATACAAATGGCCTGCAATATAGTTACACCGTAGTACAAGCCAGGCCTTTTTGATCCAATATTACTTGTTTTCCTTAGCTTTTCTTTCCCGCATTTACATAATATTTACCCCCCACCCCCATCCCCAGTTGTCGGAGGCAGCAGCAAGAGGAAGTGCTGCTGCTTTCTGCTTGTGGGAATCTGCTTAGCTGTCATAAAGCCTGTTGGGTAACCAGATGCTTGAGAAAGCCCACAAGTGGTCTTTATTTCCTCCAGCTACGGCCTCCCTGCAATAAGCATTCAGTAGTAGGCTTTAAACTGTGTGACTTTCCACGCCCTGCTAATTTGTATTTGTTCTCATTGATTTTATTGGCTTGGAGCATTGGTGTTTGTCTAATTGGGGATATGAGCAGAAGCACATACCAATGCTTCTTTGTCTTAAGGCACATATTGATCAAATGTATCTACTGCTCATCAGAGAACCTCAAAACAGACAAGATTTCTGTATTTCTGTTTTATATGTGTCGCTTGTTAAATGCTCTCAAGACATTAATATTTGTGTTTATTATCTGGTTTTATGTTTTCTAGATGGTTTAATGGATCTTAAAACCTTGTTATCTCCTAGTACTCCTTGACAAGAATAAGCCAGAAAACTATCACATGTCTGCTCCACAATCTCACTTCCCCTCTCTACCATTCTCTTTCAATAATCCACTTCTTATGGCAGTGATGGTGAACCCTTTAGAGACCAAGTGCCCAAACTGCAACCCAAAACCCACTTATGTATCGTCATGTGCCGGGTGGGTGTGTCTCATTGGGTGGGCCTGGCCCATTGGGTGGGCATGGCCCATTGGGTGGGCGTGGCTGCAGTGGTAACGGCAGACTGGGTGGGACTAAAAAGTTCAATCAATCAATTCCAACTTTGTGAGATCTTTTTTGTTCCCGTGGGAAGTTGAAATTGATTGATTGAACCTTTTTTTTTTTTTGCACATGGCGGCGGAGACCTAAAGTGAAAAGGTTTTATAAAATCCAGCTGAAGGCCTAGGACTGGGGTGACGGTGTGGGTGCCCACAGAGAGGGCTCTGTGTGCCACCTGTGGCACGCGTGCCATAGGTTCGCCACCATGGGCCTATGGTTTTGGCAGTGCTACAGGACTATTTTCTCCATTATTTTTGTGGAGGTCTCTTAAAGTAGAAGGGAAACCTTTAACTCTTCAGATTTCTTTTTTTAATTGAATACTATCTAATTAAATAGCTACTATGATACAGTGGATAAGATATTAGACTAGACTGCAGGGGTAGGCAACCTCGGCTCTTTTATGACTCGTGGACTTCAACTCCCAGAATTTCTGAGCCAGCACAGCTGGCTCATGAATTCTGGGAGTTGAAGTCCACGAGTCATAAAAGAGCCAAGGTTGCCTACCCCTGGACTAGAGTAAGGGAGACACACAACCTTAGCCATGAAAACACACTGTGTAAATGTGGGACAGTCACTCTTTTTCATCCCTACCTCAAGGATTGTATCCTAGGGAACATAGGAGAAGGAGGGACTGCAGATGCCATTGTGGACTCTTGAATCACAGGTGGAATTTGTATGTAATAAATAAATCCAATACAAATATCTCCCTTTACGAATATTGAAGAATAAAAAAAACAGTGTCAGCACCAAACCTTCCTTTTTTAATATACTTTGTTAAGTTTCTATAAAAATAAAACATATTAGAAGGAAAAAGATGGGGGAAGGGAAGGTGCAAAGGAAGAAAAGAAAAACAAAAATAAAGGAAAGCTTCTAACTTTGTTCATCACTGTTACAAATATAACATCCGATAACTTTTTGATCTAAAATTCAATCATAGCCAATATTTTCTATAATGACAGACATTTGTAAGTATAAATTCCCCAAACTCTATGACCCTATATCAAATCCTAAAATCAATGTAATATTTTGTTTGGTTTCCAGCAAAAAAAAAAAATCCCTTTACCAACTAGAAGCATTGGACAAAAATCTTTTCCTTAATCAAAGTAGCTAATTTCACCATCTCAATCAGTTTCATTAACTTCACCATCCATTCTTCCATTTGGGAGTCTGTAAGTCTTTTCATCTCTGGGCATTACAAAAGTCTCACTGCAGTTATAATCTGTAGAAACTAAAGTCCCATTTTTTTTTTCTCT